GTATGCTGTGGGGCACTGACGGAAGGCCATTGGGACAAGGACGAAGCACTTGTGAGCAGCACTGCTGGCCACTCCACAAAAGCTGCAGAGGGACCTAACCACAGATTCTGTTGTTGTTGTTATGTGCTGTCGAGTTGGACTCAACCCATAGCGACCCCTCCTTGGGTTTCCGAGGTGGTATCTCTACGGAAGTAGATTGCCCAACCTTCCTTCCAAGGAGTGGCCTGCATGTGTTGTTCTTGTTATGTGCTGTCGGGTCAGACCTAACTCATAGCGACTCCTCCTTGGGTTTCCGAGGTGCTATCTCTATGGAAGTAGATTGTGCAACCTTCCTTCCGAGGAGTGGCTGGTGGGCTTGAACCACCAGCCTTCTGGTTAGCAGTCAAGTGCCTTAGGCACTATGCTACCAGAGCTCCTACCACAGATCTCAGCAGGTGTAAAGTGCAGCATGGCCAAGGAGCAGAAGGTCCTCCATGTGTGCCCTTCCTTAGAGGCTTGCTGGTGCAAACAATCACCTGTGCCCATGGAAACAAACAATTTCAATCTGGGCTTTCAGCCAAGCGGTGACAAGAGCCTCTTTTCTTAGCATTGTTTGCCAGTGAAGTAGGATTGAAGGAGCCCTGATGGCACAATGGTTAAGTACTCAGCTGCTAACTGAAAGGTTGGTGGTTCAAACCCTCCCAGTGATTCAGTAGGCAAAAGGCCTGGCCATCTGCTCCTGTAAAGATTGCAGGCCAAGAAAACCTGGCCGGGCAGTTCTGGTCTGTCCCATGGGCTGCTCGGAGTTGAAATCGACTGGACCGTACCTAACAACAAGAAGTAGGATTGTACCTAAAACAATTTTAAAGAGAAAGGCACAAAATACCCATCTGGAAACAAGATACCCTTAAAAGTCCTTCTGTTGGGTCTTTAATTCCCAGGATGTCATTTTTTTTTTTTTCTGTCAGAAAAAATAGGAGGAAAATCCTCAAATGAAAAATGGAAATGCTGTAATTCAATGTGAAAATAATTAAAAGAAAAAAAAGAACAATTGATGGCAGAGTATCAGCCCCCATCCAGTTGGAACGAGGGCTGGGGCTTCCAATTATTTCAGAAGCACCTACTTGCTTCTTGAGTCTCAGGTGTATGTATCTGAGCTGAGAAGGACAAAGGCCTCCCACTAAGTGAGGGTCCACCATCTGGCCGTGCAAATCTCCCCCAGCCAGCCAGCTAATCCTACTCTCTTGGCCCCCACCTGATGGGACAAGGCCTCTGGGC